GGTTGTAAGTGCATAGCTCATAATGCACATTGTTCAAATGGTTGTAAGTACATAGCTCGTAATGTACACTGTTCAAAGGGTTGTAAGTACATAGCTCGTAATGCACACTGTTCAAAGGGTTGTAAGTGCACAGCTCGTAATGTACACTGTTCAAAGGGTTGTAAGTGCACAGCTCGTAATGTACACTGTTCAAATGGTTGTAAGTACATAGCTCATAATGTACACTGTGTTGTAAGTACATAGCTCGTAATGTACACTGTTCAAATGGTTGTAAGTACATAGCTCGTAATGTACACTGTTCATATGGTTGTAAGTACATAACTCGTAATGTACACTGTTCAAAGGGTTGTAAGTACACAGCTCGTAATGTACATGGACTGTAAATCATACTTGTATTAAAACTTCTGTGGAATAAAAATTGTAAAATTTTACCATTCATTAAGATAATTAGAATAAAGATGTGATCTATGTACCTTCAGATCATTTGATGATTTTCTCTTTCACAGGTTTATTTCTCCCCGCCTACTCCTCCTCTTTCCATCACTGTAAATGGCTCTGAACATAAAAAGGCCATCACTTTTTATTTTAAGCCAGGTGAAACATACACATTCTGGGTAAGTTAAATTTTAACAACGTGTTAAAAATGCTTATTATTTCTATCATTAAGAAATGTGATTTCTTCAAAATTAAGATGGAGGACTGAGAATGAAGAAATGATCAAGTTGGAAATAAGTTAGTAAACCAAGGGTGATTAAAGAAATTAATTCCTTGTTTTTATTCAGCTTCATCCTGACATAAGTATGTTTAAACAGTCAACTACTATGTTACTGTACAAACAGTAAAACCTGCAGGATGGTTTAAAGTCTACCTTGTATTACCACTTGTGCTCAACACATACAATGTAATAATGTATATATATATATATATATATATATATATATATATATATGTATTTTTTTTTTTTTATATTGTTTTTACACAGAAATAAAACAATTTTGTCATT